CTAGTGTGGATGCACTTGATTTTTTGTTTTAAACAAGGACATGTTTTTGGGCTGTATACACAATTTTTTGCATAACCAGTTCCGCATCATATTTCGCGTTAGCGGGGACTGCACATAGGTTAGGTTAGGCTATGGGGTAAGACCGGGTTAGGTTAAGATAGTTAGGGATATAAATACGAGATAATATATATACGTTAATTCTCTCGGGTTTTTTTTTCACTAGTGTGAATGCACTTGTTTTTTTGTTTTAACATGGACATGTTTTTGGACTCGATACACAATTTTATCCGTGTTCATTTCCGTGTCATAGACTTCGCGTTAAGGGGAATGCGAACATGTTGGGTTATGGACGGTTTAGGTTAGGATAGGAACGGATTAGGTTAGGTAGGGTTATGTTAAGTAGAGTTAGGGAGATAATGAGATTAAAAATACCCGATTATGTACATATCTTAATTAACTTATTAGGTTGGGTTAAGTAAGCTTTAATATAAGTTAGGTTTTGAATAAATATAGCATTGTATCTCAATACTCAGAACTGAACAAGCCAAAAAACATTTCACAAGATTGAAATTTAGACCTTTGGTACAAGTACGATTATCAAAAAGTTTTAGATGTCTAAAAAGCATATTACATTTAAAAGGAAGGGGTTTCGACTTAATTATACACAGCCTAAAGACTTACTCGAACAGGCACTGATATGCTTATAAACAATTTGGCCCAAAATTCAATTTAGCCGGCTTTACTCGAAGAGTGCAGATATATTACCTTTTAAACACCTTTTAAATAATACATGCAATTTTTTTGAAATAAATGTTACTTTGTCAAACTTTTTTCATTTAAACATGATCTAAAGTTGCGTAGACTGTCATCAAAAGATCAGCTGTCTGTAACAGTTACAGTGTAATTATAAATTTATAATTATAGGCAATTATTTAATAAATTAAATTTTTCCTCCTTTCAGTTTTCCCATTATATGGACAGTTTTTATGACTATGTTTTGTTGTTTCTTAATAATGTAGGAAATATGCAATTGCCTAACCTCTTAGAGATACTTCTTAGGTGGTATGATGTATTCATTGTTCACTAATTTCCAGCATACAACCATCAACTTTATTATAGCCTATTAGGCTTCTGATTTTGATTCAAGAGTTGACAATAAAAATAGTCATAAGATTGTTCTTGGATATAACAAAGGTGTTTGATTCAGAAAATCATGCAATTTTGCTTGAAAATCTCATCAATATTGGTATCAAAGATCAGTTAAATCTTATTTGTTAAATAGGTCACAAAAAACGAAAATAAGCTAAACTTTTGGTAATCCCACTTATATTAATTGTGGTGTCCCACAAGGAAGCGCTTTAGGGCCTGTACTATTTTAATTTACATTAACAACTTATTTAAACTAAGACTTTCTTTGAAAATATTGGGATTCGCTGATGATACAGCTATACATTTTACCATACATACCTCAAGAATTCGATGATATAATAAAAAATATTAATGATGAAATAATATTAATAAAAAAATATTAAAATAGTAATTTCTTACTTTTAAATTACATTCATGTGTAAATTCATTCATTGTAATTGCCCAATTATACCCTTCTCTCTCGAGAATACGCAAAAATCTTCAGTCTCAGGTTAACTCTGCAATATCACTATTGACCAAATGCCTCATTTCAAAGGACGAGTAACCATAAAATAGAATACAACTTTGCTCTCCTTTAAGCTGTATAGTGCGCACAGTTAATATTTCTTTGAGAAAAACATCTGACTTTCAGATTAAGGGGTTCTCCTTTTAACATGACCATCTGGCTATTCCCATGTCTTGCTTGAATCCTCCGGTCATTCTTCTGCATGAAACAGAATCATCTGTTTCTTTATATATGGAGCTGTGAAAGTTCCTCTCATTCTGCAGCCTCCAGAACTAGTTTTTTTACATGTTCAGCAGTCGTTCATTAAGTATTTCTTATGCTTTAACACTGATGGAGCACATCTATATTATGCTGGGGTGTATGAATGAAAGAAGAAGACCTTATGAAAAATGACCTGAAACTATAGCACATTTGGAGTCTATTTTTTTAAATGACTTTCAACTTGGCAAGTAAGGGAATCAATGTGTGGCTAATTATACTTTTTCAGATAGAGTTTAACGCAAATCTGATAGTTTTGGATTTTTCTTTAGAGCGGATTTTTCCTTAAAACCTCTTCAGACTATATTTTATTGTCATGTGCATTACATATAAATTACTAAAAATATAAGCCTTTTTTTAGGGGGAGGGTGGTTATGCTGGCATATTACCCATGAAGTTTTCTATTTTCATTTTACTGTCGAGCGTGATCGGCCGACCAGGGCCAGGTCCGTGCCGCGCGCCCGCACCATTCATTCAGCTCCATCATCTTCTCATCTTCTAAATTTTCATGGTTGAAGATATTAAAAAAAAAGTTTATCGACTTTAGAAATCCATAGATTATGTTGAAAGCTGATGGATTGTTGCTAGATTCTAAGTTTATTGGTTTGGAAATGTTTGGGACTTTGCTCAGATTTTTTAGCAGTTTGTCTCTTTCATTTTCATATTCTGGACATTCAAAAATTATGTGGGAAGGATTTGAAGGGCAATCGCAAATGGGACAGTTCTGGACAAGATGCCAAACAGATTCTCTTCTTGTACCTACCCCATAGGCCATGATTTGTCTTCAGTCTAAAAATAGTAAAATAGAACGCCTTTGACATTCCTTCTGGGCTATTACCTTCCGAAAACCGTAAGTTTTTTTCTTGAGCTCAGGGAACAGTGACCTGTAATAATTGCCAACATTTGATGCGTTGTATTTTTCTTGCCACAGATTTATACAAAACTTTTCCAAAAAGTTTTTCCCGTCATCTTTAAGAATTTTAATGTTAAAGTTGGACCTGATGTTGCAGCCTCCTTTGCAAGTAGTGCAATAAAAGCCATATACCTAATTATAATGTACATAAATTAGATTTTATTCTTTTCATGCCCACATAGAAAACAGCTGATGTAATTTAAGCTTATTGTAGATTTTTGTAATTTGGAAAAACATTTAGACTTGCCAACCAGCAATGCATTCACTGGTGCAGTGCTCATAGCTAGTTTTTTTTTTTTTTTTTTTTTTTTTTTTTTTTTTTTTTTTTTTTTTTTTGGGAGGGGGGGAACTTGATTCATGCATCTGTTCAGAATTACATACTAGATATCAATATTGGCACAAATTTGTTAACAGCCCATTTCGGGCAAGAAGACAGCAAACTGTCAGGCAAGGTGGTTAAAAAAATTTCAGCCAGAGAATTTATCTGGTTTTGAGTAAGTCATAAAAGGAGCATCCAGTCTACAGGCATCCAATATGCATTAAAAAAATTTTAGGTTAAAAAAAAAGATTCAAACAGTTTACTCTTTTTTTGAATATCTACTGGGTGCATCGTGACAGTTAACTGTTCTCTCCTTTACAACTTTACATACTACATATATACTTATGCATACTCCGCAAGGGTCTCATCTTAGACCAGTTTTGTTTCTCTTATTTATTGATGATCTTGCTCTCCCTTCTGCTCAATTTTTATTATTTGCTGATCTGAAAATCTTTTCCATAATCACTTCTTCTGATCGCTTACAATTACAAAATTCTATCAATAACGTGCTAACCTGGTGCTCTAATAACAAACTTGCTCTTAATGTTTCCAAATGCTACACAATTACATTCTCTCATAAGAAACAACCTTTTATTTATCACTATGATGCTCTTTTAACGCGTGTTGAGGTCGTAGAGGATCTTGGTGTACTTTTTGATCAAAAGTTCAAGTTTAAAGAACATATTTTTTCAATAAAAAATAATCTATGAAGATGCTAGGTTTTATCATCTGGAACACCTATGAATTTAAAAATCCTCTGTTTTGTCCATCTTTATAAAGCTTTTGTATAACCCATACTAGAATATGCTACACCTGTTTGGAACCCATTCTATCTAAATTATCAAAAAATTCTTCAATCAAAACAAATTTTTAAAAACTGTCCTACAAACTCAATCTTCCTCCGAATTCTGCCTACCATGAAATCCGCTCTGAATTTAAACTTTTCGAACTGGCACTAAAAAGGGATTACTTTGATACTGTTTTTGTATTTAAATTATTAAACAATAACATTGATAGTCCTTCTCTCCTCTCTCAACTACAGCTACATGTCCCTTCTCACTCTCTTAAAACCTATAAATTATTTTATATTGAATTTCAAAGCTCTAACTACAAGCTCTCTTCTCCTCTACACAGAATGATGATCAAGATTAACATCTGCAATAGCATTGACTTCTTCAATAATGCAATCTGTGAAAAACCATATCCTACAACCTTAGTTGAATGCTTTTATATTTCACTGAACAAAATTATTACAATTTATTTCATTCTGGTTCAACTAATTCTCGCACTCGAGAGATTATTCGGCTGCCGCGCCGTCATCCGCTTACACTATAATAAAGGAAGTAATTGCATATTTAGTTTTTTTAAATCTTAATCATTGTGATCTTGAATCTCGAAATACTTAATAAAAAGACGCAATGCCTCTGACCAATACAATTCTGATACAGTGCAGAATGCGTAGGATACGTTGAACTTTAATCATCTTGCCATACTTGAATTGTACAAGTCAGGAAAGGTACCACTTCAGATTATATGTTGTGTTACACACTTAAATTTAATACATAAAAAGGTCTTGCAGTTAAAAAACTAGAAATTTATTTACATATTATATGTCAAAGAATATCCCTTAAACAGATCTCACTTGGAATTTCCAAATTTATCTTAGTATTGATTATGGTACATTTTATAAAATGAACACTTAAAAACTTTTGAAAATAAATGGCATTATGTACATAATTTACAGTAAATTTCAATTTATAAAATATTTGTTAATAAATACATGAAAATATCTTGCTTTTTTAGATTAAAATAACATTACCGAATAAAGACCTAAGGTTTTTTTTTTTTTTTTTTTTATTGATAAAACTATTGTATTCTGTGGGAAATAATGCAATAATGTTTTAAAATGAATCAAAGAAAATAAAATTTCAACTTCTCCTGAGACCTTTCTTGGCCCCAATTACTAATCGAGTCATAAAACAAAAAAATAAAATCCACATTGTTGATGAGATAAAACCTTTATAGACTGTAGGATGTTCGATGCCCCAGCCTCGAGCTGTCAGCGCTCTCATAGCTTCCGTCGGTAAAGATGTTGGAAGCAGCCAGCCGATCGTTTTTAATATAGTGTGCATTCCTTCTTGAGGCCATAGCATTCCTATAATTACATTTATTTAGAATATATAGGGATTTTATTAAAATAAAAACTAAACATACCGCTCATTGAGCAAAGAGGGAAAAAACTTCCAATACCCATGAACGATGCTGTATTCATAGTATCCGAAATTACAGATATTAGGAAACCTACAAATTAAAGAAAATTGGCTATATTTTTTTAAACACCGTTTGATATATGCTCACTCACCAAAACACATCCCGCTCAATCCCTGCAAAATAAGGAGGTTCGACGTCCAGAAAAAGTTGCCGACAAAAGGACTGTCAAATACTTGGTACATAATAATCATCATCAACAACCCTTGCAAGCACAAAACCACAAATTGGATTACAGAATGTGCTACGACTACCTCTAAAGATGTGACTCCTACAAAACAAATCATCATTATTACAATATTTCTTTATTAATTTATCCGATGACTTACCAGCTACCATGCACCTCTCAAGAATGCCAGCCATTTTTTCGTACAACAGGACTCCAACAGTGAACATCAGTGGCAAGTAAAACATAAATCTGTAAAATATATTGAATGTTTAATTTAACGACTATTCTTAGGGACTGGAGTGGCCAGGGTGAGTTATGGCATCAGACTTGTTTTGGTCACACTTGGGTTTGGATTCAAACATAGCATTTGGAATTTTATTTCAGAATAATTGGGGGGGGGGGGGTAAGTACTATAGTGTGACTCCTCGTGCACCCAATGGGTTGGACATTAATCCCTACTACATGAGAGGAACTTTTTTTTAGGTTATTTTTATATTTCTTGAGATGATACTTCATTGCAGATAAATAATTGATTATTATAGCAATAAAAAATAATAAAAAATAAGTAAAAAACACTTACACAACTATCACAGCTGGTGAAGCAAAATGAATGAAGCTGGGATGTTTGTTTCCGTATATGGGGTCCTCAAACTGAAAAAATCAAAACAAATTCTCATAAACAATATTACACCATAAATTCTGTTGTGTTCTATTGCAAATATTAAGTTTTGATTAAGCAAAAATTTTCAATAAAGTACAAATAATCAGTACATTTTAATTATTAATTGTACAGTGTGCATAGGTTGGGTTAGGTTAGGTTAGAGATGGTTAGGTTAACCATTCTCATAAACAACATTACACCATCAATTCTGTTCTGTTCTATTGCAAATATTAAGTTTTGATTAAGAAAATATTTTCAATAAAGTACAAATAATCAGTACATTTTAATTATTAATTTTACAGAGTGCATAGGTTGGGTTAGGTTAGGTTAGAGATGGATTGGTTAGATTAGGATTGGTTTAGGGACGGGTTAGGGAAGGTTTCCCTAACCATCCCTAACCATTCTCATAAACAATATTACACCATAAATTCTGTTGTGTTCTATTGCAAATATTAGGTTTTGATTAAGCAAATATTTTCAATAAAGTACAAATAATCAGTACATTTTAATTATTAATTTTACAATGTGCATAAGTTGGGTTAGGTTAGGTCAGGGATGGATTGGTTTAGGGACGGGTTAGGGAAGGTTAGGTTAACCATTCTCATAAACAATATTACACCATAAATTCTGTTCTGTTCTATTGCAAATATTAAGTTTTGATTAAGCAAAAATTTTCAATAAAGTACAAATAATCAGTACATTTTAATTATTAATTTTACAGTGTGCATAGGTTGGGTTAGGTTAGGTTAGGGATGGATTGGTTAGATTTTACACCATAAATTCTGTTCTGTTCTATTGCAAATATTAAGTTTTGATTAAGCAAAAATTTTCAATAAAGTACAAATAATCAGTACATTTTAATTATTAATTTTACAGTGTGCATAGGTTGGGTTAGGTTAGGTTAGGGATGGATTGGTTAGATTAGGATTGGTTTAGGGTCGGGTTAGGGATGGTTAGGTTAACCATTCTCATAAACAATATTACACCATCAATTCTGTTCTGTTGCAAATATTAATTTTTGATTAAGCAAAAATGTTCAATAAAGTACAAATAATCAGTACATTTTAATTATTAATTTTACAGCGTGCATAGGTTGGGAAAGAAATGGGTTAGGTTAGGTTAGGAATGGATTGGTTAGATTAGGATTGGTTTAGGTTTGGATAGTAAGTGATAGAAGTATGAGATAATGTTAATGAAATAATTCTTTTTCACTAAACTACATATAATCAAAACGCCCATTGATCCTCAGGTTATGGATAAATTCCCATTATTTATATAATACACAATTCTCTAAATCTACAATATATATATAATAAAATAATTAAATGGTTTAATTACTCGAACAGGAATAGTTGCTGCTTTTGATGGCCATCCACAGTCTCTAAATAAATCTTCTAGAAATTCAGCATAACCACTCAACAGATGTTCTTTGATCATATTTCCAATGTACTGATCTGTAATTTTTTTTTTGTTAAGTATAAACAACAAACTTTGGAAAGAAAAGCCAATGGGCCTAATTATCATAAAATTATATACTTGACATATCCATCCAGACGTTAAGCTGACTGAATTCAATAGAATGATTCGATGCGTCATTCGTTAAATTGATCCTTTCAGCAAGTGATGTCGAGTAATCATTTGAGAAATACAAGAGCCCCCAGGCCTTGTGCAATGAGACGGCAGATTTCCCAGTATCGAGACTGTCATACTCCACCTTTTAAAGAAAAGAAATATAAAATAAATATTTTCAGTATGAAATTGCTAATGTGAGCGTACAAGGTCTATGGTCCGATTTCTCAAAATATTTATATATCGACAACTGAAAGGTTCATCCAAATGGCAACCGCTCATTGAAAACATTTTGCACTCTTTTAAACCTTGAAGTTCATCGACTACTATCGCCACTTTCAATCCTTCTGGGTCATGTCCAATAGCCAAATTATAAAATGTACATTGTACTAATGGCAGTCCGAGTAGAAATATCATCATTCTGAAAATTGTGCTCAGTTTAGTTTGATTATATTTAATTTAATTCGGTGTATTCATATACTTACGCTTTGTTTCTCCACATAAAAAACCAGTTTTTAATTAATTGAGCCATAAAGCGTGACCATGTAAACCAACCATCTGATTTTAAGTGTGGTTTAGGCTTTGTTTCACTTTTATCTGGATAATCAATAACTTCCTAAAAACAAACAATGCTATCGTTATTTAATTTTTTTCAAATAATCATATAAACTTGTTTAAAAAAACCTGTATAAATTCATCGATCTATGATTTCAAAACTTTACCTGTTCTTCTTCACCACTGGTCGCATTTTTCTGTTTGTGACTTAATTGTAAAAACGCCTGTTCGAGATTGTCACAGTTGTGTGATGTCATTAATAAATTTGGAGCCTCTTCACATAGCAGGACTCCTCCTCTCATCAATCCCACCTGATAAAACAGAGCTTAAATAAGGATCAAGTAATAAATTTAATAATCAGCGCTTAAACCAGATTGAAAAATTTACTAAGTTTGCTTGCCGAGCCTCTTCAATGTAATGTGTCGTAATAATAATCGTCTTTTTCCCATCTGATGCCAATTTCATAAGGTGTTCCCATATACTGAAATCAAACAATTCACGAATTAAAAAATCCATATCAAATATCAAATTTAAACCAGATCAACCTCTGGCTGAGAAGAGGGTCCAATCCAACAGTCGGCTCATCTAAGATTAACAGTTGAGGATCGTGTATCAACGCCACAGCAAAAGAAACTCTCCTTTGTTGGCCTCCACTGAAAATAAATTTGTATTTAGTGACTTCCAAGAATTAGTTCCTATGGATCATTTACCTTAAGTTTTCGACTAGTGTTTGAGCAGAAGGCAGTTCAAGAAGTTGAACCAGTTGATCAGTTCGGTTTTCAATCTGTTCATATGTCATGCCAAACAGTCGCCCATAGTAAAGGAATGTTTCTAGAATGCTTAGTACGGAATAGAGAGCAATGTCCTGAAATTAGAAAGAATTATGTTTCTATTAATATGGGTATGTTTTGGGTTGTATACACTGAATACACAAATTTCTATTTCTAGCACATTCATTCGGACAACCATTAAAAGATAGTCATTGGTGAAGGCAGGCAATTGCCTGAGAATTTGGGGTCTAAGTCTAAATTCAAAAGAGAATTGAATTGTATGACAAAAGTTAGGACTACCAGTATTGACCAATCTTGATGAGAAGTAATATAGAGCCATTTGTACAGGTTATGTGAACATTGATAGCAGAGCTGGAACATTTGTGGCCAGGCACCCGGCCTTCTCAACATCAATGATATAAGTTAGACTTGAATTTTATTTTTTAGAGTGTAATCTACAAAATCTTTCACAACTAATAAAGCATCATATTGTCTATTGCTTAAAAAATCATTTTTATAGAGGAAGTGCAAAATACTGTCTATTATCAATTTTTGAGAATCTTTCCTTCTGTTGGCAAAAGGCAAATTGGACGAAATTTGGCTGGTCTGTTCAAGTTTTTTCTTTCTAGGCTTAACTATGGATCCTTTCCAATTTTTCTCATTACAATGTTGTACATAACAGTAGTAATTTTGCCATCCTCACCTGGCTACTTTTGCTGGAGGTCTGTGATAGTGAGTAATCTATCATTTCAATGAACATGCTTCCTGAAAAAGCTTATTTTCTATTTTACAGTCCTCATATGACTTTTTCTATCAGATTATTCCATGTGTCAGTGTTGTATCACTATAGTTTTTATACATAGTAGTCAGAATAGTGGCAGACTCTAAACCATGGTGGCTGAGTGGTTGGCATCCAGCTCATCTTTGCTACATTAGTGGTCTTGGGTTCGAATCCTTGCTCAGCTCATGGAATTTTAATTGGAGAAAGTACTGTGAAGTTGGTTGACCCTTGTCCAGGACGCTGTTTTTTTATTTTATTTTACTTTTTTTAAATAATTAGGGTAATTAGGTGTTGATATGTACATAACTATAATTATGACAATTCTTTCCTCCAAAACGACCTAAGTAGATCTATTGTGTAACTTTTATAAGTTATAGCCAATCCTTAGGAAATGTGCTTTTTCCTTATAAGACTAAGTACTTTCTTTGGTGCCTCTTGCGGAGTTCTTTGTGTCCCACCAAAGTGACTAATGCTTTACATTCACAAATGATACGTGCTGATGTCTCGTGGAGGAAGTAAGTGATACTGTTTTGAAAATGTTCAGAAGTTATCACTATTATAAAGAAACCAAATAATAAATACAGAAAGAAATCAGTAGCACCATGATGAAGTAGTGTTGGATTTAATGTGAGGATTAGGGTTAGGCTAGGGTTAGGGACAGGTTAGGTTATGTAGGGTTAGGGTTTGGTTAGATTAGGTAGGGTTAAGAACAGGTTAGTTACATATTCATGTTTCGCTGTTTTTCCCGAGAAGCGAAGAAAATAAGCCAGTGCGAATCGCGACTTTTAATACTAATCTACATTCGGTAAGGTTGGGGTTAGGGACAGGTTAGATTATGTAGGGTTAGGGTTAGGGATTGGTTAGGTTAAGAAGGGTTAGGAACAGGTTAGTTTTCATATTCATGTTCCGCTGTTTTTCCGAGAATCGAAGAAAACATGCCAGTGCGAATAGCGACTTTTAATCCTAATTCTACATTCGGTACGGTTGGGGTTAGGAACTGGATAAGTTAGAAAGGTTTGCAGCAAACACAATAAATAAATAAAAATCAATAAATGTCAAAATAAAAGTTTTTTTTTTGTATAATTGCTGTTTGTTATTATAAACCAAGAACGGGTGGAATTACGTGCTGTCGGTCTCGTTCGTCTCAACTTTGACGTCAGAAAGTACTAAGCAATAGGATAATAGACAGCAGTTCGTGCTTAGATTTATAAAACACCCGTTAGATCAAAACATACTCGTCGAAACACTAGTACTTTGTTATCGCCTTGCTGTCCATCCAAAATAAAACGAAAGTAACAAAACATAAAACTAGGGAAAACAGGAAGAAACTAAGTCTTATAACAGCATCTACTTTTAGATTTTTATTAAAAATTTTGTTTCTGGTGCGATTTGATTTAACTTTTATCGATCCTCTAATGGCTAATACCTTGTTTTTTTTACACCAGAGAGTTATACAATAGTTTGCCAAGTCGCTAGCCAGAAAAATCCGAGAGAATGGTCCAAATCACATTTTATTTAGTGCAAAAAGTTAATTGTGTCCAAACATCTGTTTTATAAATCACCCCTACATTCTAATATCACGGAGAAAACGAATAAATCATAGAAATTCTAACTTAAAATTAGGTTTAAAACCTCATATTCAGTTTAAAACTTAACTGCCTGACGTATTTCATTTGAAGGAGGGGAAATAAATCTACACAAACAGCGAGATTAGGCGGACCAGATCAAAATACGCATACGAATGAAATTGTTTATTTCGTGTAATATTCAAATCGTCATGGATTGAAATTCTAGGAGACCGCCGGAGGTATTTAAACCCAAATAAATTAAATTCAGGTTCTTTTAATAGGACACTGTTTACAGCGACCGAGACCTCCTAAATCAATTTTTTCCTACGCCTTTTTCTGCCAAATCATCACGGAAAGTAATGAAAAGGAAGAACGGCTTATTTATAAAAATGTACGTTTTAATACATGGTAGTAAATTTCGAGACGTACACGGCCCCTCATGAAATAAACATAACGCCAAGCTCAGTGTGTTATTTTGGTTTCAGTGCTGTTAAAATAAAGAGAAGACACGTTTCAAAAGGGAAGCATGATGGGTCGTATGGTTACCTCAGGATTTTTACATAACTGATTTCCGTCTCGAACACTGACCTTTAGAAAGTAGAACCGTACGCCAATCACTTTCATTTCCCATGAAGTGCGTTTGAACCGGAAATGGTTTCCAATTCAAACTTTTTAGCGGTAAGTTTAAAAAATAAATAAAAAAGGCTGTGGGCCCTCGCTGGATTCATTGCTGCTCAGGGCTCGATATATCTTGCGCGGGACATTCCGAAATGAGATGCTAGATGTTATTTTTTTATTTGGTTACTTAAACGATTTGTGGAGGTGTTTTGGGCAAGAACCGTAGAAAATAAACAAGCTCAATTAAGTTAGTTGGTGAGTCTCATCTTGGATGTCGAGCCATGATCAGGAAACGCTTCCCGAAAGCACGGCAGTCCATGTCCTTGTGTTAATTTCACAAAGGAATACCTTGGAAGCATCCAGGAGGATGGACATTAAAATTTTGGGAACAGATAATGGTCTATCCGAAAAAGCTGTAAAGTCATCCGCGCAGCAGCCAGTAAATGTCAGTCAATTCTGTACGGTGGCGAATATGGATTAGCGCACTTCAAAATAAGAAAAGAAGTTCTTGGAATAACTACTATCGAAAGACCCGCAGTGCTTGTGATCAACAGGGTAACCCCTGACTTAATGAATACAAAGAAAGTTCGTTTTTGAAAGGAAAGCAAAAGTAGGTTTCGAAAGAGAAAGAAAGGAGGAGGTAAGAGACCATGAAATGCTGGCAAAGATGGACAGCGAACTGAACGGTAAACTGGAAAACTTGGTAGTGGAAAGTTACGATTCCTACTTACACAAGGTAGGTGACGATAAGACACTAGGAAAGGGGATTTGGTATTCCCAAAGCCTGCAGCCTTTCGGATTATAGAACTTTCCCTAGTTCCTTAGTGCAGTTCAATTGACTCCATCCTTGTTTTAAGAAGTAGTAGGTCATTGACAATTATTTTCACGGGTCTTCTTGGTACCCTAGGTTATATCTTCGTTGGGGGGTGGCTTTATATTTGACGATAATATGTATGGCAGTTTCTTCATCCTCGTTGCATAACCTACAAATGTGGTCATCATTGAATATACCCGTGTTTTGTAGGTATTTTCTCAGATCCCAATGAGAGGTTGTGTTTGCCAGTTTTGGTGGGTTTTTAATTTTAATAATTGGATTTTTGGGGCCTAGAGAAGCTATCTCCGAGGTCGCCCGAGCAATGCCGTGCGATTCTGGAGACCGAGGCTGGTGTAGATGAATGAGCTAGATGATATAGTCGATAGGGAGCATATGGCCACGTGCAACCTGTGCTGCTGAGAGTACCCTCGCTGCGACTTGCTCCATTATTGGTCACTTCTCGTCGAGTCAGGTTGAGGTTGAGCGCCTGCTTACAAGGGTGCTGCAAGCTCACTGGCCGCTGCCTGGAAGGCGGAACCATTGCTGAAGTTAATAAGAAGTTAACATATTTCTTTTTTTGTGGTCCTATTCTGATGCGGGAAAGTGTTTGTTTGATAGTTATCACAATATAACAATACCAGAATCGAACCAGCCAAACACACTTCGTATACAGCTGTCGACTCAAGGAAAGGCAATAATGCCAACCTAATTGAATGTTTTCTAGTAAAAAACAATGGGGTATGGTGAATCCTGATTAGAGGGTGTCCTAAAGATGAAACTGTAGGAGGGCAAACAGGATCCATCAGTGCTGAGTAGAGGCATCAGCAATTTTGTAATGTTTGGTTGCCACGGTTCCCGTCTGATAATTGGTTTTTTCGTTTTTGAGAGTCCCAAATACGGGAAGTATCGACCATCATTGCCGATATTTTGCCTCCATCCCTATGGTATGGTATGATGGAAAGGATGCTAGGAAGCGGGGTTTGTATTCCCCAGGCCCTGCAGCCTTCTGGCTTATTGTACCTTCCTAGTTCCTTAGTTCAGTCAATAGACTCAATCCTTCTTCTTAGAAGTATCAGGTCATTGACTGTCGCTGCTGCAATTAGCACCGCTAGAGTTTATCAACTTCTCCTTTTGTTTGGATCCATTCTGCGATGGAGATTCACGCAATAGAGAGATGTACTCAATTCAACTTGACTAAAAGGGACAAAAACAAGAACATAGCTTCATGTCAGATAGCCAAGCAGCCATCAAAACACTAAGCTCAAACATCATTAGTTCAAACATGGTGTTGAACTGCAAAACCAAATTAAACATATTAGGTACTCAGAACAAAGTCAGCTTCTACAGGGTCCCACGACACATGGGAGTAGAAGGAAACGAGAAAGCGGACAGCCTCGCAAGTAAAGGAGCTGCTACACCGCTGATAGAACCCGAACCCTTCTGTGGCATAGGAACCCACACTATCAATGATTATCTCAGAAAGAAGGACAAAAAGAAAATGAAGGAACAATAGAATTCACTCATTCAACACAGACAATCCAAGAATCTCCTATTCAATTTTGGAAGAAAAGAAATTACAGAATGTGTCAAGGGAAGCAGGAACAAACTGCGAATCCTAATATGATTCCTAACAGGACACTTAAAGAAGATTGGAATAATCCAAGATGGCACTTGCAGATTCTGCAAAGAGGCAGAAGAGACAACACATCTACTAACAAACTGCGGAACACTAGCCCGCAGGAGGAAGTGCTTTGGGACGTACAATGTGTCCATGGAAGAGATTACATTGAAACCGGGCCTACTAATGAAATTCCTTGATGAAATAGGACTTACGGGTGTGCTCTATTCAGAGAACCGAGATACAATAGCTCTTACAGGGCGCAGTACATTACACCCCGACTATTGGTGTGGTATGGTATGGTAAAAAAGGATACTAGGAAGCGGGGTTTGCGCTCCCCAGGCACTCCAGCCTTCTGGCTTATTGTATCTTCCTAGTTCCTTAGCTCAGTGCAATAGACTTAATCCTTCTCCTTAGAAGTATCAGATCATTGACTGTCGCTGCTGCAATTTGATTCCCTAAGTTTTTTCCGTACGTAAGGTTAAATCTCCATTGAGCTGTTGATTCGAAGATGATGTGAGTGGCTGTTTCTTCCTCCTCATTACATAATCTGCAAATGGAATCATCGCTGTATATACCCATGTTGTTTAGATGTTTTCTCAGATACCAGTGACGGGTTAGTAGTCCTACCACTCCTTTGAGTTTGGCCCTCTCCAATTGCAGCAGTGTTTTTGACAGTCTCGGTGAGGGTTGTTTCATCATAAGTTTACTATGTCTAGCACCGCTGGAGTTTATCCACTTCTCATTTTGTTTTGTTTGGATCCATTCTGCGATGGAGGATTCTATATTTGTTTTTGTTATCCCAAGGATAGGTTCAGGGCCTATGTATGGTCTTGCAGATCCTACTCTGGCCAGACTGTCTGCTTTCTCCTTACCCAAATTTCCCGTGTGCCCTGGCACCCAAGATATCATCAGTTGTGCTTTCCCAGGTTTTGGAGATTTTGGATGGGGTGCTTTTAGGTAAAGCTCCTTCTTGTAGTGAAGAATAAGACAGCTGTTTTCTTAGATTTTATGGTAGTTACTACAAGTTTACGGCGTTTGGCGGATTGGGCAGAATGTCATCCAATTTTTCCTTTTTGATTGTTACCAGGTTACAATACCAAACAAAAGTTTACTAATGTTTGCCTTTAAACTAATTCGATAATAATCAGTTGCGAAATTATTTTTACGTTTCTTCTAAGTTTGGCCCTCTCCATTTGCAGCAGTGTTTTTGCCAGTCTCGGTGAGGTTGTTTACTAGGTCTAGCACCACTAGAGTTTATCCATTTTTCCTTTTGTTTTGGTTGGATCCATTCTGCGATGGAGGATTCTATATTTGTTTTTGTTATCCCAAGAATAGGTTCGGGGCCTAGGTATGGTCTCGCAGATCCTCCTCTGGCCAGACTGTCTGCTTTCTCGTTACCCAAAATTCCCCTGTGCCCCGGCACCCAAGATAACATCAGGTTGTTGCGTTTCCCCAGGTTTTGGAGATTTTGGATGCATTCACTGACTAATTTTGATGTGATTCTTTTACATGCTAATGCTTTAATAGCTGTTTGGCTGTCTGATCTTATGAGGATTTTTTTGTCAGTGTAACCTCTTTTAAGATTTTCCAGGGCACAAGGCATGTATATCTGCTTGAAAGACCGAAGTGTACTTCATGAGTTGATTGCTCATGTTTTGGGCTTGTACAGAAAACGCTTCATCGGGTTCTTCGTTTGTTTTGGAGCCATCTGTGTATCATATCATTGTATCTGATGCTCTCCTGTGTTCTTCCTCTCCTTTGTACTCCGTTGAGACTTTATAAGAAGTTGTGAAGATTGTTTCCGGGATCATGTAATCAATCCCCATCCCTATACAGGTGGTATTTTGTTATCAATGTTACACTTATTATGGTGATAATATCCAAGAAGAGTTTTGTTATAATTGTATCCGTTATCGCCATTCATGTCGTAATTTAAGAGGAGAATTGCAAGGCGTTAATTTATTCTCAGCTGGAAGCCTAGTACGGGAGACTAATATAAATCGATCAATTGTGCCCTGAAATGCGAACGGAGTTTCACTTCTTTCATCAGACGCAATCATTTGGTAAATATGAAAGATTCGGCGCGTCAGGATTATTTTTACCGGGGATGAACCAGACAGACATCTGTCATTTAGGATGGAGGTAGAATTTATATAAATTATTCAACTGGGGGAAACAGGTGGGATGAAATAGGTGCGTACTAAATCAACCCAGCGGGGTGTTTTTTTCTGCCAAGATATAAATTCCTGACTAATACGAATTAATACGGGCTTCGCACGAGGGACTTGGTTTTACCTGGGATCGGGAGTGGACAAGCTCTTGATAGAAATTATGACAGAACGAAACAGTTTTCTGTCAATCGGCCAGTTTTCTGCTACAAAGTATTGATTTTATTTTGTAAACATTCTTACTGAATTATTAATTTTGAATTCAATAATCAGGGCTAAAGCCAAATTATCTTTAAAATTAATCACCTTAAAACCCTAATAAAGTGCATTTGTGTCTTCTCTCAATTATATTTGGCATTTACTTATCCATACTTATCCATCCATTTACGCATCCAAACGTCAAATAATGCGAAAAATATTCTTTATGTAAGCTAAAAAACGACTTGACAATGATTGAGACTTTGCGTCGGTGACGTTTCTGTAAATATAAAGGTCCGGGGTTCGAATCCAGCGGCCTTGCATTCGAACCCGAACTTACAAATGGGCTTTTTTTGTCAAAAACACGGACACGCGAAGGTTGATAAGACCTCTGCGGTTGCGAAGCCCCGTAAAAAAATCGAGACGGATTTTCCCAGAAAAAATCCGATGGGCATGTACATCAGTGTCTTTCAAGCTGAAGATTCAATTGAGCGATGTGCTCAGTTCAACCTGACCCCACAGCACGGGGGTCATTAAACACAAACATCATCCAAATTATGCTGAATTACCGAGTAAATTAAAAAAAGTCAGATATATTAAAATAGTCAATTTCTGGAATGAGGATATGTAGAAGAGGGAAACGATAAAAGCTCTTGCAAGAAAAGAAGCTGTCTGCTGAAATGAACGGACTAGACTACGATCAAAGATCATGTTGAAAAATAAGACTGGTTAAGACAAGAAACAATGGGACTCGTTCACTTAGCAGTTTATACGGGTGAAAAAATAAAGAATTTATCGACGAATAAAGACTCCGTTTCTTGATGTTGCAGATTCTTAGGAAGATCGGCCTGAACATACATAAACGTATGTATATTCTGCAAGGAATCAAAGGGAACCACAACGCTTTTGCGGTATGGAACCTTGTGATCAAAGAGCGTATTGAAAAAGAAGACAAGTTAAAAATGAAAAAAAAATAACACTGGAAATCGTTCTCTGGGGTTCTTGTGCTTGTTAAAAAAAGAAACTTCAAAATACATTCATGGCAGTAGGACAGTTTCTTGACGAGGCGGACTCAAAAGACATCTAAGAAAGACTTGTATGAACCTTCAGATCTTACATTTGTACATTCTGAAAGGAGACAGTGGATTTTTTTTTTTTTTTTTTTTGTTACCCTCTCACACGTGATAAATTAAAGTACATAGATATAATATTTACACATTTTCATAATTCGCATTCATATTAATTTATTAACCTATACTACAACTAAATTGGAGGTCGGAAGATTATCGTGATCGGCCCCCCCTTGTCTTTCACACTAATAAATACGTTCAAACTGTACATGTTCCACTCACACACTAACCTACCTTAATCTAAATTGTTTGTCGGGCCTGTGGAGTACTTGATATTCCTCGACCGTCACGTCCTTTCACGCATCACCTCTCACGCTAATAAATACATTCATTCTGGACAAGCCACTACACTTTGGAAGTATAGTACCAACGAAATGCCAATGACCCGTCCCTCACATCATACTACAATGATGATCCATACTACTTTGGAGGGCCTGTGGGTACTTGATATTTCGTCACAGCCACACCCATGCACACTTCGACATTCACGCAAATAAATACATTCATACAAATAGGAGGGATATACCACGTGTGGTGGGTTATATGAAGCCATACGCATTGATTAATTTTAGGTAATGACCTTCCGTTTATAATCACTGTTGTGCTTAAGTACTTTTGTTATGTCATTAGGAAGGCCATACCGTGCTCTGTGCGGCGCTAGTTGTTCGCATTCTTCTAAAATATGTCTTATTGTAACAATTGCGCCGCACATGGGGCATTTCCTCGGTCTCTTGCCGATCATCCGCCAACTTGTAAGCCATAGAAATTTCATTAAACAGTGAGTCTTCAACTACTCCTTTCGTTCATTATTTATTCCTTCATTTAACCATTCCTAAACTAACATCCCCTTTTCAATCTTCTTCCATTCCCGTTGGTGCCGAAACAATCTTATTAACTTCAACTCCTCTCTCCGGCGGTGTTCGTCGGCGCCATTTTGAATTTGGCTGCTGGCGAACATACTTTGTACTTGTTATTAATGTTTAATTTAGGAGTTGTGACTTCTGGGTACGCGACACCGTTTTGGTTAAACAAATCATTATTAAATTAAAATGTTTACTTGTGGCATATATCCGATATCGGCTCTGGACTTGCTGCTCGTGAAGATTTCACCGGCATCAAGTTCTACTCGTCCTACAATACAGTTGAGTAGTGTTGTTTTTCCACATCCACTAGGCCCCAGCAATCCATATCTGGAAAAACATAAAATTTCTTTAGCCTTGATTTACAAACAAAAAATGGGTCGAGAATCTGGATGGATAAAGTGGAACAGATTTTTATTTCAATACTCACATTGTACCTCTTGGCAGGGTCATGTTGAGTCCTTTGAGGACGACACTGGTCGGGCCGTACCTCTTGTACGCCCCCCTGATCGTGAGGGCATACTCGGTGGATGTTGAAATCGTGTCCATATCACGCCTTCATGTCCCCTAAAACGTCAAAAGCGTTAATCCTATTGGAAATTAGAGTCAACAATTTTATTATTGCAAAAATAAAGCCCCCTTCTGTATGATTCATTTTTCCCAGGCCATGAAAAATGCGAATTAAGATTTTAATCGTCTTAATTAATAACATTGAATAATGATCAGGCGGAATAATTTGAAGGGCGTGCGTTTTCATATTTTTTTGTTTAGTTGTAAGATTGGTTTATTAACATATTTTCTCATGGGATCTGTAGGGGTTGATGAACTTGCAGTTTGGTAGTTTCTGTTCATTTTAATCTGCCTACGCTCTCTAATATTTCAAAAATTGTTCTGTGTCTTATTTAGTCATTTTCACCTTTATTATGTTGTAGATATTTTAATTTTTTGTATTGTAACTAGAAATATTCGTGAGTTTTGCGCGTGGTGCTACGAGTCTCTTCGCCTATCTCATCCCTGGGATGACGACCCACCAAAATTTGATTCTCATTTGAAATTTTTTTTAAATCATTTTTTTGACGTTTCCGTTTCGTGACAAATTGCTAGGTCATATTATGATTCTGGGCTGGAAGTGCTTTGGCTGCCTTCGATGTTCCTGTAAGTTTTGCGGGTATGAATCTCTTTCTGGTTCTCATCCCTTGGGTAACAATCCAACAAATAAGTCTTCATTTTTTTAATGTGTCCCTTTTTGCGGCAAATTATTAGGTATTAGGGTTCGGGGCGTAAGTATTCATATTCCTATACCGTAGTATATGCCTTCTTAGGCGACAGTGTTCTGTCATAACTTATAAAAATCCAAAACGCTGAAATTCTACCAACCCGTTATAACTGTTCTCGAAGCGAAATCTTCTTAAATTTAAATTAGATAAATCTCAACGCACATAATTCAAGACACTTGTATTTTTGGCTAAGAATCAATCACATTTTTTGGAACCACCATTTTGATGAATACTTTTGCTCATACTTTTCACTTTGATTTAAATGTATGCTCAATATTTATTTTTTAATTAAAAGAGTGCAAANAAGTGAATCATCTGTGTAGCAGTCTATGTTACGATGGTCATCATCCAGCCTATAATTATAACAAGGGGTGACTACCTGAAAGTGCTTTTTCCCCGAAGGGGTTTTAATCTTTTTATCACTAACACTTAATAATTGACCGTTAACCTTACTCAATAGTTGAGAGATTTTTGAATGACCTATGTTATTGCACTTATGATTCCAGCCCTCGCTAATTAATCTGTGATTAGTGCTCTGACCTTAACCTCAATGTGATGGGGTGTGGTATTGATTATGATTTCAAGAGCTAAGGTGGCTAAAATGCTAATCTTTAATAATAATAACAGCAGAACAGCAGAGGTTATATCAACCCTCGGGGTCGCAATGCAGGGCCGCTGGATTCGAACCCGGGACCTTTACCTTACAGTGATGAGCGCGGTGTCTGGGTTTTATAAAAATTCAATGTTATCACCGTGAGAAAAGCGAATTTTTCTACTTTTAGCCTAGTTCAACAAGGTCCGTAGGGTCTTTTTTCATCAATACAATTATTTCACTTAATTAATACTTTCAACTACGAGGTTATTTGAACCCTCGGGGTGATGATGTTTTTGAAAAAAAAAGCCCATTTGTAAGTCCGGTTCGAATGCAGGGCCGCTGGATTCGAACCGGGACCTTTACCTTACAGTAATGAGCGCTAAACCGGCGGCCACCGACGCCACCTATATCTCATCTTTAAACTGTAATTATAACGCTGTGTTGAGAAACCTTTACCTTTTTTTCCACCGATAGCATTGGAAAAAAAGCGTGTAGAACAAATTGGCCTTAACATGCATTCAGAAGAAAATCGTTCACGACCCATAACCAAAATGGCCGGTTTCTTGTGAAACGGTCACAAAAAAATCCTTTACCTTTAATTACGTTATTAAATCGATAACGGTCAAAATTGTAATATTATTCAAAATGCGAACAAAAAACTCCAAGAAAACTTTCACTTTTCAGGATCGTTTTTATTTCGCTTCTTCACATTTTCGAAACGTTTTGTATGTTGATTAGGTACCAAATGTATTCGATTGTTTAACTTTTGACGTTTTTTCAAACAGGCTTAACCGCACACTGACGAAATATGCAGGTCGTTGAACACAGCCTCATTTTAAACATCCACGCTGGATTTCTTAATTTTCCATCTAATTGTAAGGGAATGTTGAACTCGAGGGGGTTACGAAATCCGGCCTTCGGTGGGTCAACCATTTCATTCCGACGGAAAGATGTCCTTCCATTCCAAATGAACCTTTTTCTTTGAAGCAGACGTCAAGAAAAAGAACTATATTATTGCATAAAAACACTAGTTTTGTGGTCCGCTTGACTTGTTTCAATTAATTAAGGTTTTTATTTGGGATAAAAAAGTCAGTGTCACGAGCGGGATTCGAACCCACGATCTTCGGCTAGATACGCCCCGCTGCTCTACCACTTGAGCTGTCGTGACTTCGATCCACTCGGACACTAACTTCCCATCTCAATCTTACCTTTTGAATTTTCCCTCCTTTTTGCCATTTTTCAAATCTCGTGTAATCTATTTGATTCTCGGCGACAAATTTAATGGCCACGGAGAGCTTTAGTGAAGTATACTTCATTTTAACTTATTAAATTCACTAGTTTCCGTGGTCCGCTTGACCAATTAATATTTCTTTTTTATCTCAACTAAAAACCTTAATTAATTGAAAGATATTTCGAAACGTTCAAATAAAGAGAATGAAAAAGGTGTTTTTTTTGACAGGGGCATTCGACAGCTTGGTCATTTCAGCCCCGATGCACTCACATAATACCGCTACACACTCGATACACAATCACACTAATAAATACATTCTACCTGTTCACTACAATAAACTACTCTAGTTTGGGGTCGCTGGGGTACTTTAAAAGTTTTCCCCAGTACACCCAAGTCACGCACGCGACATGAGGGGTGATGGAGGTGCTACGTCACCATCAGCCCCTCCCCATTCACACTAATAAATACATTCACTCATACAAGACACAGAAACTTTACTTCTAATTTCTAATTCCCAATTTCTTTAAAAAGCGAAATAGAGGACCCTGAAACTCTCTGTTGTGTTCGAGAACTCTCTTTAAATCTGGTTGCATGCCTACTCGCGCCCTGTAGGGAGCCAAGGAACGACACGCTTCGACTATGTGGGACACATAGAGCAACTTTGCTTAACGGACACCTGCGGGGGGATTGGCCCACCAGCAAGTGCCCATGTAAAAAATTCGTGTCACGTGAAATTTTAGAAACCATAATAACTAGCCAAATTGTTAATCATAGTAAATACGTAATAATAATAATATAAAAACAAAAAGAATTCAATTTTCAAATTTGCTAGTTAATTTGAAACGTATTGTGCTAAACACTAGTTAAAGGACGAAAATTCAGACCTGTTATAATTTCAGTTAAAAAACCCATCAAAATTATATAAAATTGAATCTGAAGTACCCTAAGGGAGATAAAGTATACAAACACTAGGTTTCTCACAGATTTATCATCCCTTTTTTTGTTCACCTCAAGATGTCTTTGGTCGGATAGGAGTGAGCATGGATTAGGTTAACTTATTATTAGGTTATTAAGAGATGATCGATACCATTATTTTTGTAAGATGTAGCGACGAAGGAGTATATTGTAGAACAGTTCACTGCAATAGATAGGGAAAGGCTATGGTACATAAGAAAGCTGCTCTTGTGCATCCTCATACACTAAAGAACAATCTGTTATTTATAAAACAAACCAAAATCATCCAGAGACACGATTAGCCGGAAAAAGAACAATAGAAGAAAGTTTAAGTGGAGAAAGAAAAATCTTTACAAATGAGAAGAGAAAGAAGGTTAGGTAAGGTACAGTTAAGCTGGGGAGGGTTAGGTTAGGACAGGTTAGGGTTAGAATTAGGTTACATATCTCAGCACCATCTCAAATCGATTTGCGCAAGACCTAACCTCAAAATACGTAGGAAAGAAATGATTACAAAAGATTTAGTTTTCAAGACAATCTAAAATAAAACGTTTCAAATAAAATTCGCAAACAATGGAAAACGCAAATATTTGCTACTTTGAAAAACCATTCCTGAGATTTGAAGACCTCGAACGATATGCTTGAGCAGAATTCTGTACTTTTTTTTAAGAAAAATTATTGGACTGAATAGATGAAAGTCTAAGTCCAAAAAGAAGACATTTCTACGACTCCTAAAGAATACCAAAGGTAAGTTGAATTGAGTTAGATTAGGAATACTTAGGTTAGGTAGAGTAAATTATGCAACATTACCGTAACGGAACGACGACTTTCAGAAAAACTATTTCGAAATTACCTACTTCCGTTAATATTCGAAATCGTGGGACCATAACTATCAAACGAACGTCACGATAGCTCAATGGAAGAGCATTTGTGTATTTATCCGAAAGTCGTGGGTTGCAGTCCCGCTCGTGACACTAATGTTTCATCTTAAACCTAACTTAACTTTCTTTGAGTTAATTTAGCGTTATATAAAAAGTTATTATAGAGATAAGTTAATAAATAACATTAAATACCCATGAAAAGTTAAGTACAGTTAGATAAGGTTAGGTTAGGTTATGTAGGGTTAGGGTTAGGTTAGGTTAGTTTAGGTTAGGTTAGGTTAAGAAAATGAAAAAAATAACTGAAGGCGGGTTAGGTTACATATCCATGATTCAATAATTTTTTATAAAGCTAAGAAACCTGTTGAAATAATCGAATATGTCGATTGGCACGAATTTTAAGCACGTAAACCTCAAAATAGGTAAGATAAACAAAAATAATTTTTGTATTTAATTAAGGAAATTGATTTATTTGGGTACAATAATGGAAATTTATTTTATTTATAATTTTTTAATATAATTTGTTGGTTTTAAATAATGTCCTAATGGGTTAATATTGTATTTATGTTAATAAAAGAAAAATTTGAAATATGCACGAAATGGGTACCATTTTGATCATATCCATAAAATCATTAAAAAAATTCAAAATTATAGAGT